TAGCTGAAACATTAATGATGACTAGAGGTCTGGACGTACTCTTTGAACTGAACACTTGATATCTGCCATTGTCCTATGGATGAGTGTCAAGGAAGTGGAGTTACCTACTTTATATGTTTTTAAAATGCACCGTCACAGTTCCTGTGCTAAATCAACTGTTAGTTTTTGTCCTGCAGGGAGAAACTATGTTTGTTTCTGCTCCTGGAGGTGTGAATGTGTCATAGACATAATGAGTGTGATGCACAACTTTTCACAAGAGCGGTATACAAAGAAGAGATGTAACACACCTCACCAAGGCATGACCCATCCAGGACAAGTGGCGTGCATAGCCTTCCCTGGCCTCCTGCTAAGCGAGTTCCCATTCCCTGTCCCACTGTCAAGCCACCTCCCAGCTCTTCTCTTTGCTGAGCAAAATGCAACATCTCACACCAAATTTATTGGCTTGGCAGAGTTGCAAATTTAATTACGCAAAAGTTGAGGCTGAAGAGCGCTAAAAACAGTACACTTTGATACTGTGTAGTATCGGTATTTGGGGCTCAGGGTGTTTTATTTATAGGTATCTATTAATACATAGCCAGAGATACAGAAAGAAATACATAAAAAATAACTTTATCAAATAGTTTCTAGCATTCAAGTGTAACATCAAAAGCAAGAAAGGCAACAGCAAACTGTTCTCCTGGGGAAAAAAAAAAACACACCATCTTTGTAGCTTCTTGTCTCCCTTCCTGTCCTTTTCCTCTTAGCGGGTGGCTGGCTGCAAAGACCTTTTTCCTTGGTGTTTAATTGAGGGGGGGCAGTAAAGGCATTCTCCATATTTATAAAAACCTCCATATTTATTCCTTTGTCCAGCTCTTTCGCTCCCCCCTCTTCTTCCTGCCTCTCTAATAATGCCTTAAGTGCAGTATCTAGCTTGTAAAACTGGTTTGCTGGGGTTCTCCTCCCTCCGCTTGATTCTTGGGAAAATTTTTCGCTGGGAAGTTGCCTGGTCCTGCTACAGCCGCCTTCTCTGGGCCTGAGTGAGGTTTCCCTTCTTCCTAGAGGACAGGAGAAGTGGGTGCTGCCGCCACAGGTAGAGACGCGGACAGAGGCTGCAGATGCCACCCCCTTGGCCTCAAGGCGCGGGCGCGCACACACAGACAGACACCTCCACAGCTCGGGATTCAAAAAAATGGGAGCAAGATTATACTTGGAAAGATTACACTTCCAGGTCTGAGATCCTGCACTTTTATTTACCGCGTCCTTTTACAGACCAAGACCAAGTTGGGGACAGATTGCTGCCCAGTCTTTGATTTTCTAGTTCCAACACCTTCACCGGGTGACAGGACAAGAGGGACAGCGGGCGGTGGGAAGGCGCTTGGGGAGGCTTTGCTTCGCTTGTGCACCTGATGATCACGCATGGCCGGCACCTGCGGGGGCAGCCTCCGCGAGGTGGGGACAAGGCGGGGCAGGGAGCCGGGCTCCCAGCCATGGTAGCCCAGGCTGGACCCAGGATGCCTGTGAGGGCGGGGGCGGTGGTTTCCGGGGAGGGGCTGAAGACAGGTTGGTCCTGACTGTTGCCAGTGTTTGGTCAAATATGCAAGCAGCAGGTTAAAAAAAAAAAAAAAAAAGGTGTGTGTATGTTGGGGGTGGGGTGGCGGTGGGGGCGGGAATCCCTGCCAAGGCACAGTTCCCAGCCACTTTTCTCCCGCAGGGGGAAAGCTTGGATCTTGTGAATGTGACATCAGCTCTGTTCTCCCAGAGGTCCCCTGCCTGAACTGGGGAGGGCAGAGCTGGCTTCCGGGCGGGCCCCCAGGGCTGGGCTGAGGTAAGCGCACGGAGGCAGAAGGCCCCGGGATGGGTGGAGGCATCTCCGAGAGCGTGGGTGTGGGTGTGGGTGTGGGAGGGAGGGTTCCTGCCTTTCCCCTGTCCCCAACTTTTACTGTAGTGCCTCTTTTAGGGAACAGATCTCATCCTGGACCTGACCCTGGTACTGGGCCTCCCCCACTGTGACTTCCAGGGAGGTGGAGGGGGACAAATAGATCCAAGTCCACAGCAAGTATATTCAAGTTCCACCTTGGGCTAAAAAAAAAAAAAAAAAATCTGTCCTTTAGATTCTAGAGGCGACGAAATGGTTCCCCGGGATCCTCCTGTGTTGTTGAGCATTAGCACTGCATCCATGCAAAAATAATGCTGTGCATGTATATGAATGTACCCCAGTGAATTCCACCTTTCTGTATCAATTAAAAAATAATAAATAAATAGAAGACCCATAAAATCGAGACAGGGGGAAAGAGGAAGCAGTGAGGACCAAAATGGAGCAGATTCTAATCCTTGCACCTTATGATTGTGTCTAAATGAACCTCACTATTATGTATAACTATCATGCACTAATAAAAAAAAATTGAAAAGAAATGCTGGGGGAAGAAAAAGAAAAAGAAATGCTGGAAATCCCCCTTTCCTTCCCAGGAAAAATTGTAGTAAAGGCTCCATCTGAGATGGAGGAAGTGCATCTTAGACCCTAGAACCTAGACGTAGACTTCTGTGTGTGTAGGGAAGAAAGTCTGATTTGATTCTGTCTCCCTGGGTTCCCTAGGAGAACTTAGGTGCAGATATCCACTCTGCCTCCGGGTGCCTCCGTTTTCTCACCTGAAAAAATGATGCTGATTGGAAAAGCCAATGTGTTACATGTTTGTTTTGCTTTATTCATTAAGGCACATGGTCACTTGCACCTTAACTACCCTGTGGGCACCTTGAGGCATGTGCATGTGGTGGTGGTGGTGGTGGTGGGGATATTTTGAGGTTAAACAGACAGGAAAATACATTATTAAATAAGGTATTAACTGATCCCTTTATCCAGCGTGGGCATTTCCTCCATCCCAACACCATCCCTAATGCATTCACATACCTCTACAAGAACACCCTTTTACAAATGAGGAAACCAGAGGAATACGTTTTTTTAAAGAACAGACTCAGGAAAGCAGTCTCTGTGACGAGAGTAAGTGGGACATGGGGAAGTGCACCCTTTTTCCTATTTCAGGCACCCTTGCTGCTCTTCCTTGGCCCTGGCCACAGATCTGGTTTCCTTCTGTCATTTAGAAGCCAGGGCTTTTACTTTTCTTCCTAGTAGAACATCAGCCCCTGTAGCTCTTCATCTCCCCCTGGTGTTCGTCTCCTGCCATTTCGGATTGTTGGTATTGACTGTAGGGGGAGTTGGAAGGCGAAGCAATGGGGGAGCACAGAGAACAAATTATGGGGGCTTCTAATCAGTGATATTGGGGGAAAATGGGATGGGTGCCTGACAGGGCTCTATTTTTTTTTCTTTTAAATCTCCTTTTCCTTGCCAATCCCTCACGGATCTTTCTTTCTCACTGTGGATGCAAAGAATATGAGTCAAAAAAATAAATAAAGACTTGGCGGGGGGAGGGGGCATGAGTAAGAGAGAAGCAGGTTGATGCCAAAATAATTTGACCCAGAGTCTGGAGGAGCCACGGGGGAGGGTGTCCCCTTGTTTGATCAGGACTAAGAAATCAGAGAGACATAAAAGGAAAACGAAGTGAACAATGAAAAAAAAATTCCCCCCCCGCCCCCCCCAGCACACAATACAATCTATTTAAACTGCAGCTCATACTTATCATACCAATGGTATGACTTTTTTTCTGGAGTCCCTCTTCTGATTCTTGAACTCTGGGGCTTGCAGCTTGCTAAAGGGGAAGCAGACTCCGGCCCTGCACGGGCAGGTTTACCAAAGGTCTCTAATGGGTATTTTCTTTTTCTTAGCCCTGCCCCTGAATTGTCAGACGGCGGGCGTCTGCCTCTGAAGTCCGCAGTGATTTCCTTCAGAGCGCGGCCTTATCTCTGGCTGCACGTTGCCTGTTGGTGACTAATAACACAATAACATTGTCTAGGGCTGGAATAAAGTTGGAGTTGTTTACCCCCACTCTATAGGGGTGCAATATAAAAAGGCGGCCCGAGAGCTGTCCAAGTCAGACGCGCTTCTGCCTTGGAGCCGGAGCAGCCAGCGAGCGAGCGAGCGAGCGGGTCCGGGTCTCCGCCGCTGCTGTCCCTGCGCTCGGCCGCCGCGTGCGCTCGCAGAACGCCTCTCCTGCCTTCTCGGCTGGCAGAAAGGGCTTTTCAAATTTTAATTTTTTTTTTTTTTTGCCTGTGAAAGGGCACTTAAGCTGGAAGGATCGCTTTGAGATCTGAATAGCTAGAAGCGCTTCTAGGAAACCAAAGCTCTTTTCTTCTGAGTTCAGTTCGCGAAGGCGGTTTTTTTTTTTTTTTTGGTTTATCCTCTTTTTTTCCAGAATGGATTATTTCCCCATGATTTTCTCTCTGCTGCTGGTGATTTTCCAAGGAGCTTCAGAAACAGGTAGGCACGGCGCGGACTCCGGGAATCTGGGAACGCGAATGTCTTCGGATCCACCTTCCGGACGTTCTTGCGCCTGTTTTCTTCCCTTCTCTTTATTATTGCGGCTCAGAGAGCAAAAGTATCTGGGAAGGCTCGCTCCACCACGGTATTGAAGTTTCTAGTGAAACAACAACAACAACAAAAAAAATCGATTCAAGACAAAGTAGCTTTAAAATGACTTTTTAAAATTATTATTGCAAAATGTATTTTCTTGACTTTAAAAAAAAAATAACTCAAGAAAAAGTGAAGAGCAGCTGCCGTTTAGCCAAACGGTACAGTTTGCACTACGTGTGTTCATACAGGTACATGGTATGCTCAGGATCTTATTATATCTTATTTGAACACTGCCTTAATAGTGTGTTAATGTGTAAAGTATTTAAACATTCCAGCTTCAAGCCAAGGAATTTTATTCAAGTCACTCAAGCACTCTGTGAGCTGTAAAATCACCTGCAGAAGGACAGTGTGTGGAATAACCCCCTAGGCGGTTTCGGGATGGAGCAGATGTTTTCTTTAAAATTTGTCATTATTGACTTTAGGTTTCTTTTGGCAGATTTTTGGCACCCCAAACAGTGTGAGCTCTATTTTCAATTGTATTCACCTGTCCTGGGAGGGAAGCTGGGATAATTCTTAGCTGCTTAAGGATTTAGACAGTATGTGTGCATCTGCCTGTTTCTCCTCTTTTTTTTTTTTTTTTTGGGTCAATGCACTTTTTTTGTCTTTTCATGACCCTGACCAAAGAGAAAGGGACGTCAAGGGAATGAAAATCCTGGAATGTGTCTGATCATTTGAAATGTACAAAATCAGGCAGATAAGCTGCATGGCCAGATCGTCTGTTGGAAGAGGCAATGCTGAGTTAGGCAAGAGGGAGATGGTGCATCCCACCATCACGCTGCAGAGGGATTGTGGATTCAAAGTCCACAGAACCTTTCCTAGGTCCCTTAAGTGGCTTCTTGGTCAAGGTGTCTGTAGTTTTCCACCTGAAATGAATATTGCAGAGTTAATTTCTCTGCTGTCTCTAATCATGTCTCTGGTTGATTTCAAGTGGTCTGTATCATACTGATCATACATATCATCATATATCATCTGGATCACTCTACTATGTACCCTGCATAAAATGTAAAGTGGTTTTTACCTCCTAAAGGGAAGCACACCCTGTGGTCCCAAAGACAGGAATAGTCAATATGTTTTAATTGTCATCAGCCAATTTTAAGCCACCCTGGGTTGTGCTGTCCTATGAAGTTCCAAGCAGAGGCCAACTCAAATTTCAGGTAGAGAGTATTTTGAAGCATTTCCTTGAAGGGTTCTGCCAGGGGGCTGGTAAGTCCCTGTTCAGGTGTTTATCTCTTGTGCATTTGTATAATCTTCCTGCAGGTGGATAAGCCAGCCAGGGTAAAGGTGAAGTCATGCTAAGGAGGAAAAAAAAAAAAAAAGAAACAAAGAAAGAAATCCTTTCCTTCTGCTGTGTTTTTGTCTAAGAACAGTTGTAACCTTCATCTGCTCTGATCTGCTGTGCTAAATCTGGTGTCAATACTGTGATTCAGCCTGTCTCTGGGCATCGGAGGAGACATCCCTCACTGACCTGCTTTTCCTCTCCTCTCTCTCTGCAGCTGTCTTGGGAGCTGAGCTCATGGCCGGGGCTGAAAGTGGAGGGGACAAGTCCCCTCCCAACACAACCTTGAGGCCCCACCGGTTCAAGCGCTGCTCCTGCTCTTCCCTGATGGATAAGGAGTGTGTCTACTTCTGCCACCTGGACATCATCTGGGTCAACACTCCCGAGTGAGTCTCTAGAGGGCATCGTAACTCCAGTCTTTCCTTAACGTTGACTACCCCAGAGCCCCGTCAGCAGCAATCCTGTGCTGGGGAGTACCTGGCTTGGGATCCCAAGGCACCCCTTCTGACTATGGGGAAGTGCATTAGTGGACACGATACTCAGCTTGATTCTTAACAACTGAGAAGAGGGTCTCCTGATGCCTTGTGGCTCAGGCCACTCATCATGGGATAGAAAGAAGGGCTGATGACAAGCCACAAGCTGCTGAGCACTGCAGACAAGAAACTAGGTGAGGGAGGTCAGCGGTGGGTGCAGACTGGGTCTGGGAGTACGTTGCCCAGGTCCTGTGTGGGTTAGGCCCACCTCTGCCTTTCATAGGAGGGTTCAGGGTCAGAGGAAGAAGGGATCGCAGAGAGTTAGGACCCGAAGCTTTCATTTTACTTACAGAAAAACCAATATCCCAAATACTGATGTCCCTTGTAATAGGAGTAAATTTGTGGCAGAACTAGAACGGGATCCTGGATCTCCTTTTTCTGTACTTTCTCTTTATAAAATCCTATTTTAAAACAGAAATAGAAATACCACCCTTGGGTGTCTCTTCCCCTTCTAAGAGTAAAGAAAAGCTGTGTGCTCCCTTCTGCCCTGAAAACCAGTTTATCCATCAGAAGTAAAAAGTGAGCACATTGTGGCCTGTATTATGGCAAGAGATGACCAAAATCCAAACCAGGACTGAACCAAACCACCATGGGCCTTGTACTTTCTTAGTGAGGTGCTTCTTCCAAAAAGAGAACTTTATTCTTTAGGTGAGAGTCAAAATGGACCCCTTGCAAATAGCATTTTAGAAAAGGAAGAAAATATGAAACAGACACAAGAACAGAGATTTCATGATTTGGGACAAAAAAAAAAA